AAGCCCAGGAGTTGGAGGTTGCTGTGAGCTGTGATGCCACAGCACTCTACCCAGGGTGACAGCTTGAGGCTCCGTCTCAAAAAAAAAAGGTCATGGAGCTGTTTACTGGTGGAGCTGGGAATGAGACACTGGGCTAACTGACCCCACAGCATGTGTTCCCTACTTGGGTTAGCGCTCACGTGCACAGTGCCCCATAATGCAGGTGTTATATGTATATAATAATAATTCTAATGCATGAGGAAACCAAGGTCAACACACATAGTCAAATACCATAGCAGCAAATGGCTTGTGCGTCACATAAAAAAATGAAGCCTTAAGGAATACTTGTTTGACCCAAGCTTTTTCCACCTTTCTTTTTCATTCCCTCCTTGCTGCTGCCATCCCTCCTGCTGCCTGGCAACCACCCCTCCTCCCTTTGAGTTGCATTATCACAATCAGTCCAAGTACCAAGTTTCCAGTCTATGCTTTTAGCGCAAACGGTTGTGAATTTAACATATGCAAGAGAAGACAGCAGCAGAAGTCAGTGGGGGAGAGAGGAATTGTACAATTACTAGTGCTGGGGGAACTTCATTATCTGACTAATAAAAAGGTCAGTTTGCTTTCTTCTATGAAACTAGATATGAATTCCAGATAAATTTGAAAAACAAATGTAGATTTTATGCAATTGTGCACTAATTCTCCTTTAATTGTATATTTTGTTATAAAAGGAATAAAAATGAATCAAATGTTCAAAAGTAACCCCTTTTAAAACCGCAACAAAATACATATTAAATCTCTGCATTGAAGAAGACTTTGTATGGTTAAGAGCAATTAAAGCAAGTATCCAAGAAAAGATCGATAATTCAGTAGACAGCGTTAACAGAAATGAAATACAGACAGCAAACTGAGAAATATGGCAAGAAATAAGATGAAACAGGGGTCGGGCTAGCAACTAATAAGAAAACCAGTAATAACAGCAAATTTGTATTGTATTTAGATAGTTAACATTTATTAGGGTCTTACAAAGTGCCAAGTACATTCTAAGAGTTCAACATGGGTTTGTATTTCATTTTATTCTCACAATAAACCCTGGGATAGATCCCAGAATCTCCACATTCTAAAACATTCTAAGGGAAAAAAAAATAAGAAAGTACATAAAGTGTAAATATACAG